TTTCGCCGCCAAGTTTATGTTTATTTAAAAGATCTCAATATTAACGGTTTATTACCTATTACTTTTCAATGTCAGACATATAATATTGATATATAGACGAACTGACTTGTTTTTCATGTAACATGAAGAGACATACACGTAAAACTTGCCCAAACTCTAAAACAATGAATATGCAAATGACAAATGATGAAAACAATAGTGTTCAAAATAGTTCTCCAACAGACTCTCAACAGGTGAATGTAGTAATTCAAATTCTCCTGACACATTGTACGACAAAGACGATGACATAACTGATATAATTAACACCCAAGCACCAGATACTGAGATAAACAATCATGAGACCGATACGAACCCCTCCTTCCCCTTCCATTGCATCACCATCGCCTCCCCTTCACCCCACAAACCCCTCCCCCACGTCTATGCCAAAGTAACTGTGTGTAATCCAAAACCACAGCCCGAGCTTACAGAGTCAACCCCATTTCCATCATCTCCCTCACTTGAGTTCACAGTTGAATCCCCGCGCTACTCGCCACTATCCGAAATCCCCATTGATTTAAGTGGTTTAACTGATCAATCACAAGACCTTTCCAGCACACCCATGTCACAAAATAAAATTGCTGATGACATAGAGGAAACTGCTAGTGAATGTAGTGAGAATGAGGGGTCTATCATTTCAGATGTTTCAACATGTACTAATAGCAGCGAATCAACAATATCAAACGCAAATATCAAAACCTTTTTAGTGTCTACACTTCACTCACGTAGATTTATAGACAAGTGTTTTGCCCAATCTTAAAATATTGATCTGACATCTGATAAACTACCGCAATACCACGCAGTTAAACACATCTGATAAATCTCTCATACACAGACTTATCAAAAAAATTAAACAGCAAATGAAAACGGGTAACCTTATCGCTGATTTTTAATTCCCACTTTTATGATGGCAAACACAATGACATGCGCAACATACAACGTCAATGGTTGCCGGGTTGCCCTCAAACGGTACAGTGTGTTCAATTATCTTAAGCGTGATCATCCCTGTAATTTATATATGTTACAAGAAACACACTCTCTTGTCTCCAATGAAAATATTTGGAAACTTGTGTGGCGTGGCCTTGGTATTTTTTCTCATGGCACTGTTAATCGTGCGGGGGTGGCGATTTTGTTTTCGCCACGCACAACTGTGAATATTTTATCAAAAAGTAAAATCATGCCTGGGTATGTGTTGCACGCTCATGTTCAAATTAATCAAAATCTTCTTCACATAATTAATGTCTATGCACCCATTAAGGGCGGTGAGCGTGTGGAATGCTTCACTAAAATTGAACAATTCATCAGTTCTCTAAATAATGACCCAGTAATCATGGGGAGGCGATTTTAATTTGTACTACTGAACCCGACATAGAGGGACTGAACCGGACATGCGCACTACAAAGCTCCTCATATCTGTCCTGAATCATCACAAACTGTTTGATACATGGCGCCAATACCACGGGAACACATTAAACTTTACTTGAGGGCGGGGTGGTACGCTTGTGCGCCTTGATAGGTTTCATGTCAGCAAATGAATGCGTGGGAAAATTAAGAATATTGACATAAGCAATGGCGCATTAGCCTATTCTGACCATTCCATTGTCCATATCAACATCGCCATTGGTGGCAGTAAAAACAAAAGTCCAGTGAGGTGTATGAATACAGAAATTCTGCGCGATGAAGTGTATGTGGCAATCTTTTTTTGGGCGAAGTGGCAAACACTTCGAAATAATTATGTAAATATACAGACATGGTGGGATATTGGCAAAAATAAAATAAAGTTACTCACACAACAGTATT